AAAAAAAAAAAAAAAAAGACAGTCTTACTTTGTCACCCTCGGTAGAGTGCCATGGCATCACAGGTCCCAGCAACCTCCAGCTCTTGGGCATAGGCGATTCTCTTGCCTCAGTCTCCCAAGTAGCTGGAACTACAGGTGCCCAGCACAACGCCCAGCTATGTTTTGTTACAGTTTGGCTCGGACCAGGTTTGAACCCACCACCCTCGGTATATGGGGCCAGCACCCTACCCACTGAGCCACAGGCACTGCCCAAAATGAAACATCTATAAAGGACTATAGACAACTGGGGAAATCTAAATACAGATAGACTATAAATTAGATATTAGTACTATATCTATGTTAAGTTTCTTTAGGATGAAAATTCTATTGAGATTATGTAGAAGAATGTTCCTGTTCATCAATGATACTTCCCGTTGAAGTATTTAAGGGTAAACAATCACTGTGGATGTCATATACTCTCAAATTACTCTAGCAAAAGAAAAAAACTTTCTATCTCTATGAAGACATAAAACATGGCCCAGCACCTGTGACTCAAGTGGCTAAGGCACCAGCCACATACACCTAAGGTGGCGGTTCGAATCCAGCCCGAGCCGCCAAACAACAATCATGGCTGCAACCAAAAAATAGCCAGGTGTTGTGGCAGGCGCCTGTGGTCCCAGCTACTTGGGAGGCTGAGGCACGAGACCTGCTTGAGCCCAGGAGTTGGAGGCTGCTGTGAGCAGTGATGCCACAGCACTCTACCCAGGGGGATAGCTTGAGGCTCTGTCTCAAAAAAAACAAACAAACAAAAGACATAAAACATATGTGATAAATAAAAGCTGCTCTAAATCTAGTTTATGGCGTATTATCCTGCCAGACCCACAGATAGCTTCAAGCTGACCTGCTAGACACAGAAAAGCACAGGAGTAACACTATTGTTCTAAAACTCTGACTTCTTGTTGCAAAATAAGACCTAACCAACTCCATCAGGAGTACATGTATTTGCATCTGTGGCAAAGTTATGTGAAACTAAAATCTGGAAAAAGGTCACCATAGTAAGAGAACAATGTCTAAATAAATTACATCTAGCCAGCCAGGACATTAAGTTGTCATTAGTCATTACTTACAACCTTTTTTTTGAGACAGAGTCTCACTATGTCACCCTCAGTAGAGTGCCAGGGCATCACAGCTCACAGCAACCTCAAACTCCCAGGCTTAAGTGATTCTGTTGCCTCAACCTCCCAAATAGCTGAGACTACAGGTCCCCGCCACAACATGTGGCTATTTTCTTGTTGCAGTTGTTTTGTTGTTTGGCTGGCACGGGCAGGGCTCGAACCCACCAACCTCAATGCATATGGCTGGCTCCCATAACCACTGCGCTATGGGCACCAAGCCTTACTTACGTCTTGAAACATTTTGTTCTCTTGTTTTAATCTAGCTTCTTTATTGTCTGAGAGTTTGTAAGCATTCTCAAATGCTTCTTCTAAATCCTGCAGTCTAGACTTTAGTCGAATGATCGTATTGTCTTTTTCTTTATTACTTGTTCTCATTTCCTCAATTCGTTCCTGCAAAATTTTGGAGGCACTGCTGGCTGCACAGAAGCGTTCTCTCAAATCATTCTAAAAATAAAGACAAACATAATAAACTACGTTAAATGAAAAATACATGTCTCAAAAATTTTGGCAACTGTTGGCATTAAAATATAAAATAAAATACACAAATGGAAGTAAACCAATTTAATGTTCCATTATATCCTAGGCTAGAGAGTCTAAAAAGGATCATTCTACTTGGAATAACACCTCCATGAAATTATCATAGGTAGACAGAAAATTGATGACCAGGCACAGTGGCTCACGCCTGTAATCCTAGTATTCTGGGAGGCCCAGGAGGGTGGACCGAGCTCCAGAATTCGAGATCAGCCTGAACCAGAGCAAAACCTTGTCTCTAAAAAGTAGCCAAGTGTTGTAGTGGGTGCCTATAGTCCCAGCTACTTGGGAGGCTAAGACTAGAGAATCACTTGCGCCCAAGAGTTTGAGTTTGCTGTGAGCTGTGATGCCAGAGCACTCTACCAAGGATGACAAAGTAAGACTCTGTCCCAAAAAAAGAAAAAAAAATAGATATTAAAAATGAAACTTGTAAACATGGACTTTGAGAAACTGACCCTTAAAAAGACTATATTTTATACCAAAAGATTGGGAATAACATGAGTCATAAAGATCTTTGTTCAAGTACTCTGGGAGGCTGAGAAAGGAGGACTGTTTGAGCTCAGGGGTTAAAGACCAGCCTGAGCAAGAGGGAGACCCTGTCACTACCAAAACCAGAAAA